TCGTAAAAATTGTGTTTTGTCAAGTTGGATTTTAAGTTGATACGAAATTAGTTGTTAGAATATTTCCTTAAGATGAATTATACGTAGTCATGCCATAAGTTCTGTCCCTCGTTTTCAAACAAGTGTAGACCTGTTAATACTTGTCCGATTGTTTACATTGTGGTGTCAGTTGATTAAGCGCTTTTCGGGTAATTACATATACCTCAGTTTGTATTGATCTCTCGAAGCATAACGATGGAGTGGGGCAAGGCAGAGAACCGTATTGCGGTGATAGCTTTACTTAAGTGTAATCACAGTGCTAGTCAGATTTTTGAACTCTTACGCGGCCTTCAAATATCGCGTAAATTTGTGTCTAGGACCATTCAGCGGTACAATGAGACGTCCTCTGTTGATGACAGGCCAAGAAGCGGAAGACCTCGTCAAGTAAGGACTCCAGCAGCCATCAAAGCCGTAAAAGCCAGGATTCAAAGGAATCCACTCCGGAAGCAGAAGATCCTATCCAGGGAAATGAAGATTCCTGTCCGGACGATGTCGCGCATCATTAAACAAGACCTAGGGCTAGGGGCTTACCGGAGACGTACGGGCCAGCGACTTACGGCCACCTTGCGGCACATCAGGGCGACAAGATCCAAGAAGCTCTTGGAGAGGTACGCAGCTGGGGGATTCCGAAAGATTTTGTTCACGGATGAGAAAATCTTCACCATAGAAGAAAAATTCAACCGACAAAATGACAAAGTGTATGCAAGGAGTTCACAGGAAGCTTCGGAGATCATTCCGAGAGTTGAGAGAGGCCACCACCCTGCGTCAGTCATGGTTTGGTGGGGGGTGTCCTACGAAGGGGTCACTCAGCTCCATTTCTGTAAACAGGGCGTGAAAACAAAAGCGGCAAACTATCAGAGCGACATACTGGATCCTATCGTCAAGCCTTTAAGTGGTACATTGTTTGCCAACCAACACTGGGTCTACCAGCAGGATTCCGCCCCCGCTCACAAGGCTAAGAGTACGCAGCGCTGGCTGGAAAGCAATGTGCCAGAGTTCATTGCTGCGGAAGATTGGCCCTCAGGGAGTCCGGACCTCAATCCTTTAGACTACAAGTTGTGGGACCTGCTAGAGCAGTTGGCCTGCTCCAAAGCCCACCGTAATATCGAGTCCCTGAAAGCGGATTTGATCCGATCAGCGGCAGCTATTCCTTTGGAAGCTGTGCGTGCAGAGATAGATGAGTGGCCCGCGAGATTGAAGCAGTGTGTGAAGGCCAAGGGGGGACATTTTGAATAAAACTGTTTGATTATGAATTCTAAAAATGTTGTCGAATAAATAGTATCTTTCATATAAATATATCTTATCTTGTTTCATTTTTATCATGAGATTATCATGGGACAGAACTTATGGCACGACTACGTATGTTCTTGCAGTGAGTTAGAGAATATTATGATATCGTCTAAGTATACAAAGCAAGTTTTTCCTATGAAAGGTAACAGTACGGTGTTCATCATTCGTTGAAACGTGGCTGGGGCGTTCTTTAAACCAAATGGCATTCTAACGTATTCATAATGTCCATTTTCTACTGTAAATGCTGTTTTCTCAATTGATTTCGGATGCATGGGGACTTGGTGAAAACCTTGTGCTAAATCTAATGTAGAAAAGTATTTAGCTTTACCTAAACTTTCAAGGATTTCTTCTGTTCTAGGCAAGGGATATTTATCTTCTACTGTGATATCGTTTAATTTTCTAAAATCTATTACCATGCGGTACTTTTTCTGACCTGATGCGTCGGCCTTTTTGGGTACTATCCAAACTGGGGCAGAGTATGGTGAGATACTAGGGCGTATAACTTCGTCGCTTAGTAATTTGGAAATTTGTTTCTGAATTTCTTGTTTCAAGTGATATGGGTATCTAAAAGATTTAACAAATATAGGATCGTCATGAGTCGTTCTGATAAAGTGCTTAGCAGCTGAGCAAGGCTGTAAATTTTCGTTAGGCTTTAAAAAAGCATGAGGATATTTCTCACATAATTTGATAATATGAAAGCGTTCCTCTGAGTTCATGTGCTCGGTACGTATAAGTTGTTTAAAGTTGATGCGTTCGATTGGTGGTTCTGCTAATTCATAGTTTTCAAAAGGTTCAGGTTGAATTTCAACATTGTTGAGGTGATATGGGACTAAAATGCGTTTGTTAATAACAGGGCATAAGTAATCTGATACTAAGGCTGATTTGGCGGAAATATCAGTAGGGATAGTCGAGAAAATTGTATTAGATTCTCGTATGGGAGTCTTGTGAGTGTGACATAAAATCTCATACTGATTTATAGACAGTAAATTAGTAGAAATGTTAAAGTTACTTTGAAATTTCTGTAAATCGTAATATCCTAATAAACAGTCGTAGGATTTGTGCCAGGGTAATAGTAAAAATTCAATTTCAGTCTGAATACCTAAATCGTTAAATATAGGGATTCTACATGCTTCTGTACCTTGCTTGGTATCAATAGCGGTTTTAATAGAAAAGCGTTTTGGATAGATGTATTTAGAAAATTTCTTATGAGCAGTTTCAGGGTTCATAAGTGATGATGAAGCGCCTGGGTCGATTAGAATAAGTAAATCAAAAGTGGAATGGTAGATATAGAGCAAATGAACATTTTCGTAGTTATTAAGATTTACGTAGAGTTGTCTAATTCGGGATCCATCTGAAAATTTCCGTTTTCATTGGATGTGCTAGGTTGATCGTAAGATTGATCATAATAATCATTCTGATAATCTTCGAACATTTCTTGATTTTCGCTTGAGTTTTCAACTTCGTTGTTAGTCAATTCTTCTGCAATAAAATTTGGTCTCTGGACGATAATTTTGGAACGGGGGTCTAGTCGTGTTCTGTGAACGTATAGTTGATACAGACATCGGAGTCGGTCCTGATTGTCGAGTATTTTGATTTCTAGGTGTAAAATTGTTATTTGTAAGTCTTGGTTGATAACTTGTAGAATTAGGTTGTTGTTGTGGAGTTATTATGATTAGGATTGGGGTTCCTAAACATGGGTGGTCTAAAATTGTTATTAAAAGGTGTAGAGGAATGATTTCTGGGAGTGAAATTTGTATTATAATGTGTGTTTGTTCTGGGTGTATTGGAATGACGTGGTGTGGTGTGATTGGAAGGTCTAAGGAATGTTCTAGAATTAGTAGATTCCTTGAATTTTGCTAGTGCGATAGAATTATCTTCTGCTTCGCAAATGGATAAAGCGTCAAATAGTGAAAGTGGGTTCTTATGTTTAAGTCTTTCAGAATATGGATTCTTAATGCCGTGAATGAATGATTGTAGACCTAGGTCTTCGTATTCAGTTAGGAGAGTACTTCTAACGACGGGATTTGAAAACTTTAAGCTAGCGTATTTATTGAGTTCACGTAATTTGTTAACAATTCTGTCGAAAAATTGTTTATAATTCTCGTTGTCTTTCTGTCTGAGCATTGCAAGTTGATTTTGTATAATAGAGCCAGTTTTCGTGTTCTTATAGTGAGTAACTAAAATGTTTTTGATTTCAGGCCATGTATTCGCGTTTTGAAAGCATATTTTCTCATGAGGTTCATCAATGAGATTAGATGCTACTACTTCAACAGCTAATTCGGCAAAATCTGTATTAGTAAATTTGGAAATGAATGTTTCAGTGTCACGTAAGAATATAGTCAAGTTGTTTTGTCCTGAGAATTTCGGTAGGTTATTCTGTAAAGCTCTGAATTTTATTTCTAAAATTCTATTTCTTTGAATGGAATGATTTTCAGTCGTCATGTCGATAGGTAATTCGTCAGTAAGTTCACTTAAATTAGGGTCTACAGTTAGTAGAATAAGGTTTAACACGAGGAGTGTCTGTCTTAGTTCTAGCTACAAAAGGCATAAATTATAAAATAAAGTCTTGATTCCTTAGGTTTCTCTTGATTCTTCTTATGATGAGTGTGTTTCAAAATGTAAAATCTTGTAATGTTTCAAAATAGTGCTTGTAAACGTTAATTCTTAAATCTACTTACAACAGCGTAACTAGCGTAGTTGCTGAGGGAGACATCGGCTTCCTTTCCTTACAGCGATTTTCTGAAGTTTTCTCTGGTTTCAGGTGTAGACAGCAAGGATGATTCTCGTAGCGTGGAGATTTCTAGCTGATCTACTTCCCAAGTAGAAGTTTGGAGACACTGCGGCTGGGTACTCGTTCGTCGGAGGCTGTCCAATTTGCAAGTGTCGGCAGGCAGCAAATATTTCTAAGTCCAAGTCTTCTTGATAGTGTTTCGAAGTTATTGAAATAACACCGGTTTATCTTTAATTGGATACCGTAAACACTATCCTGTTCGCAGCGCCAAATAAATGTTCGTCGAAAACTTTGAGAAAAACTTTTATTTCGGAACTTCGTTGTACAGTGGTGGATGAAAGCAGATTGAATCTAACATATCAAGTTTACAAGAGTATTTATAATAAAATGTAACAAAGAAAGTACAGATGAGGATAAGTACGAGGCGTGTTTTTAAAGTAAGTACCGTTTTTAAATTACGCCGCCGCAGCGCTGCGGTTGCCGTTTAGCGCATGCGCGTCGTGTAGCTACATCTGTTCGGAAGCCGCAGACGCCACTACTGAACCATCCGATCGAGTCTACATCTGTTTGCGTGATTTTAAAATGCCTCCACCGATCGTGAATCCCGCAGACTGCGAAGTGTGTGCTGTAATACGGTTTCTGTGTGTTCAAGGCTTCAAATCAGTTGAAATTCATCACCAAGTCAGTGGTGAAAACATTATGAGTGATGGAATGGTGCAGAAATGGGTTAGGGCCTTTGAAGATGGCCGCACAAACATTCATGGTGAGGAACGAAGTGGGAGACCTTCAGACATTACCGATGACCTGATTCAAAAAGTGGACTGTAAAGTGAAAGAGAACAGGCGATTCACGATTTCGTCCTTAGCTGAACAGTTTCCTGCTGTCTCAAGAAGTGTTCTTTACGAAACGTTTAAATTATCGGAAATTGTGTTCACGCTGGGTGCCAAAAATGTGAAGCAGTGGTTGTTTACTCAGGCGGCAAGCTTCTTTGACGATGGCATACAAAAGCAGGTCTCAAGATACGATAAATGCCTCAATTGTAATGGGAATTACGTAGGAAAGTAGAGTAAAATATGGCCTTTCAAGTGAATAAATTATTTTTGGACAAAATTTACTTGTTGTTCTTTTAGGTCAAAACGGTACTTACTTTAAAAACACGCCTCGTACATAAAATAAGGGTCATGTCTTGAGATAAGAATTCAAGTGTTTGTCAAATAATGTTTCGTAAATCTATTTACATTATAAGGCGCGAATTACACTGAAAAGGCGTAAGGTGAAGGCGCGGCGCAGACGCAGAGCAGGCGTGGCACAGATAAGGCACGGATGCGATTTAAATTATATCAAAGAGGCGAAGAGATGGCACAACAAGTCATTACATAGGGTGACTTTATCGTGATAGCATGTCTTCCTCTTCAGACGACGAAGATGCGTTGGCTTTGCTGCAACTCATTAATGTGCAGAGACACCGAAGATATTGGGTGCACCCTGTGTGGAGAATGTCACAAGAGCATAGATATTTTAAAATGATGGAAAAATTATGCGAATATCCTGATCGTTTTCCTACAGTGTATAAAATGTCACTAGAATGTTTCCACATTGTATTGTCGAAAGTGAGACACGGTCTTCAGAAGAAGCATACAAATTGGAGAGAACCGATCTGTCCTGAAGAAAGACTATTGATAACATTAAGGTTAGTAAAACATCTTTGGCATTTTTATATACTTTTATTTGTTTGATGTTTGAGTAGAAAACTGGACTAAGATTTGACAATCAGGAGGACTTGTTTGCTATCTATCAATACCAGAGATCGGAATTGGGTGTGTGAAAGAAAATACCTAAAGTTTTCAGCAGGGCATAACATGGAGTACAACCACTTAATTTGAACCGGTTTTGAATATTACCAGTTCAGTTTCGGTTTTTTTGTTTTACATGTTCCTTAACTTTGAAACACCCAACTATAAACTAAACTATGTAAAGAACGAGTAGAACTAAAAAACCGAATTTGAACCGGAAAAGTTCAAAACCAAAATTATTTTAAAACTGTATTAGCGGGAAGATGTAAAACAAAAAAGCTGAAACTGAACCGGTAAAATTCAAAACTGGTTCAACTTAAGTGGTTGTAACAGTTCCATATTATGTCCAGCTGCAAAGTTTAGGTATTTTCACACACCCAATTCCGATCTCTGATCATTACCGCAAAAATTAATAATTGGAATCATTCACATCACCATCGTGAGGTTGACTTTCTGCTTCAATTCTTTGGTGTGACGGAGGTGAAACCGAAGTAACTGGAGAAAACAATGGCAAATAAATTTGAGTTCCAGCTCGCTGAGGTGACCGACCTCTGTAAGCACCACTTGTTTGCATCTGCTGAAGTGTTGGATCTCCATATGCGCCAGTCGTTTGTGTCTGCTGAAGTGTCGGCTGTATCTGCTGAAGTGTCGGCTGTGTCTGCTGAAGTGTCAGACCTCCGTATCCGCTAGTTGTATGTGTCTGCTGAAGTGTCAGACCTCCATATGCGTCAGACGTATGTGTCTGCTGAGGTGATTGATTTCCATAAGATCCCGTTGGACTTCCATAAGATCCCACATTTGCAGGTGAATTATACTCTGACTCCCGTGATGGAGTTCTTTGGTAAGGAGTTATACTTCTCGGACATGAAATACGACTAGTGATTGGCTCTTTTAGAATTTGTTCAATTAAATTAAGTACGCCCAATTTCAATTTTCGTTTTTGGTCTTGATTCATTGTTTGCACATCTGGCATCATGCTGCGGAAAAAGGCCATGTCGGCGTCTGAATCGTCCTTATTTTTTACTTTTGTTCCTTCGTCCATATTTTGTTGTCGTGCAATTATTTGTTTATTTTTTAGGGTGAAGTATTCGTGCGCTGTCTTATTAACATCACTTCTACGAATCTGTTTATTTTTTGGTGGCGGCTGTGTATGTTGTGGCGTGATAAAATCAGTCGCCTGCCGTTCACCTGCAGGTGAGCCAGCAGACATGCATGTCAAATCGTCTTCATCTTCGATTCGGTCTGCATCGTTCCCCAAATTGCCTTTAGAGGGTCGGGATTTTAAAAAACTGTCTAGGAAACGCAAGTTTGGTGCAAGGTAGTACTCTTTAGGTGTTTTCGCAGCAGATCCAGATGGAGCACTCATGTTTCTCTTATTCTTTGAGTAACTACATCTGATGTTCTTCCATCGGTCTTTGCAGTCTTTAGCTGAAACAAAAACCAATAATTTTATTCGATGATATAATACCTATTGTTGTTTTGTATAACAACTTCGACTGGGCGCTTTCTACTCATCAATACGAACAACTTTTACTATGGGAGCAGCTTAAAAATCTTTGAAAAAAACAGCTGTTCTATATACATTTTGTTCAGTAGGTATCAAATTTTAGCATGGAACAGCTGTTTTTCTAAGATTTTTCAGTTGGTCCCATAGTAAAAGTTGTTCGTATTGAAGAGTAGAAAGCACCCTGAGTTGGGTGCTGTTTTACAAATCAACACACAGTAAATTAAATTATTATTTGTAAATGAATAGATGTATCTATCTATATACTATTATTTTTAACATCCGACGCATGAAAGGGATGGATGATGGATGTGATGTAAGAAAGTGTCACCAGACAATTACATGAATACAATACTGTCGTGTGCGAAAGGGCTTAAGTTTCATTTTTGGTCAAGCGCGATTCAGTTTCGTGTACATATTATAACTATATTTTTTTGTTACAGATACTATGCAGATGGATGTTCGTTTAAATCGCTTTCTACATATGTTCAGAGAGGCAGCACTACCGTTCAAAAAATCGTACAAGAAACTTCACGTGTACTGTGGGAATATTTACAGCCGGAATATATGCCAATACCTACAACACAAAAATGGCTTGAAGTTGCTCAACGTTTTTACACTTTATGGAATTTACCAAATTGAGTAGGAAGTATAGACGGAAAGCATATAAGAATTAAAGCACCCAAAAATTCTGGCTCAGCTTACATAAACTATAAAGGATATTTCTCTATCGTATTGATGGCAGTAGTAGATGCAGATGGAATGTTTTTAATTATAGATGTCGGCGAATATGGCCGAAACAGTGACGGGCGTGCATTCCAAGTTAGTTACTTTGGGCAAGCTATGGAACAAGGAAACCTCAATTTACCACACCCTACTCCATTGCCTGGAGAAACGAATATGGTGCCCTATTATTTTATTGCTGATGAAGCTTTTCCTCTGAAGAAAAACTTAATGAAACCGTATGGCCGAAATCAGTTAACAAATGAGAGAAGAGCATTTAATAACAGATTGTCAAGGGCACGAAAATCAGTGGAATGTGCCTTTGGTATGATAAGGACTAAATTTAGCGTCCTTAGCACATCTGTTTGCTGCGATCCAGAAAATGCCGATAGCATTATAAAAGCTATGAGCGTTTTGCATAATGTTATCCGCAAATATGATGGGAAACTCGTGGTTCCACGTTTTAATAACAGTTTAATAGGAACAAACATCAACGTGCAACAAACAAGGGAAGATCCTAAAATCATCAGAGAATATCTTACAACATACATGACAACTCGATCTCCGATTCCATTTCAAAATAGACATAATTAATAAATAAAAATAAAGTACTTACCTGTTGCACCTGGTTTTAATCCTATTTCTCTCCATATTTTGTCTTGTATATTTTTATTAGAGTACTCCGGCTTATTATAATCGTAAAGAGCTGGATATTGTTCAACTATCTCGCAGAACTGTAAGTTAAATTCACTATCGTCACGCATTTTTGCTCCTCCTGTATAACAAACAACGTATTGCTTGCGCAGCACTCCAGTCGCGACTGCTAGCGACGCGGAACAGGTGACGAAACGACGTGCCTGCGCCACGCCGCTTGAGTATAATTCACAACGTGTCGCCTACCTACATTTTGTATTGAAAACCTTTGAAGCGCCAAGATGCCTGCGCCGCGCCTTCACCTTACGCCTTTTCAGTGTAATTCGCGCCTAAGAGCAGCGGAAATGGATGGGAAGGTGTAATACATAAAGGAATTGGATGGTGTTATTAGGTAGGCGATACGGTAGTATCAGGATTCCATAACTTATACATGACCCGCAAAGCGGGCCGCAAGAAAGGAGTTCGCGTATGTTGGACAACCCTGCTCTAACGCTGTGTCCTACGTGGACGACTCAACGCGAACGCGATTGCGAAACGATCCGATGCGAATTTAACGCGGTGCGGAGCGACGCGGCTACTCTGTCCTGTCTGCGCGCGAACCGTCCCCTCCGCGCCCTCCGCCGCCGTTGAGTTCAGTTTAGCATTTAGGTTAGGTTAGGGTAAACATTTGTCATGGACGGACGGAAGCTTATGTTGTTGGAAAATTCATATCTTAAATATGAGATATTGAAGAAGTGTATAAAGCAGAGAAGTGGAACTAATACTGTGTACTTAGAAAGGCATAGTCATGGGGAATTTCATAATTTGTACCAGGATTTACGTACTCAACCCCTGTTGTTCAAGGAATATTGTCGAATGTTACCTACTACGTTTGACTATATTGTACAAGCCATTAAACCTGTTCTGCAATTTACTACAACAAATTTTCAGGAACCTATTTCTGTAGAAGAACGACTTATGGTGACTTTGAGGTAAGAAAACTATGAAATAATAAACTATGAAATAAATGTTAGAGATTACATATAATATTAATTAAGTTTAATTAGTAAGTATGTACATAATTGCAATACTTTCACAAAGATGTGTAATAGCCAGGTTGTTGAGCACTGGATTGTGGTGTGTTTAACTTTGACAGCTCCATTAGAAGAAGCTCCTGCATCTGCGTTCTAAAATGTAATTTGTTGAGTGATGGCAACTGTTTCATGTAAGGTAATATTGATTTGAACCAAAGAAGGTCGTCGTCAGTATTATCTGGTTGATCTTCGCGAAGAATTTTCATTTTTTCTCTCTCAATATCGAGAAATGCTTCGAGACTTAAATCTTTTCTTTTGCGTGTTTGCCTTGTGATAGCTGGCAACGAGGACGAAGGGGAAGGCACCAGCAACGAGGATGAAGGCGAAGGACCTGGCAACGAGGGCGAAGGTGGACGATCTTGTCGAAGGTTGTTATCTATGGACATGTTCTGTGGTATTTCTTCTAAAATAGACGCAGATTCAGGGAGCTGGGTGTTGTCATTGTCAGATGCGTTCATGTTTAAAATCTCTTCTGGACTAGCCGCGTCTAAATACACTGACAGATCTACAGAATTGCTTTCGGAGTCTTTTGATATAATATTCCCTTCTGTTTGTCGGGGTTTCAGAACTACTTTTAAAAAAGACATGGCCTCAAAATGTGGCCATGTGCCTGTATACTTCGGCTCATTATCGGCATCAGTCCCAGAACGTGGCTTAGAAATTTTTTTTAATTCTTTACTAAACGTGTCTCTCAAATTTTTCCATTTTTTCTTAGTCATTTCACCTGAAAAAAGAAAAGGAATTATAACTTAATATTTTGCATTATTTCAGGTATTTGGCCACAGGTATACAATTTCGGCAACTCGCTTTCTCGTTCAGAATTTCAAAATCTGCTATTTCTACAATCGTACCACAAGTTTGCAAAGCTATATGGACTCAATTAGTTAGGAAACACATGCCCGAACCTTCAGAAGATAGCTTTAAAAACATAGCGCAATGTTTTTGGGACAGATGGCAGTTTCCTAATTGCATTGGATGTATTGACGGAAAGCACATTCGCATAAAAAAACCAAAACAGAGTGGTTCCATGTATTATAATTACAAATCCTTCTTTTCGATTGGGTTGTTAGCAGTCACTGACGCAAATTATAAGTTTGTAATGATAAATGTGGGTTCCTATGGAAAAGACAACGATGCCGGTGTTTTTGAAGAATGCCCCTTTCGAAGAGCAATAGAACAAGGAAGACTAAAAATACCTAAAGAACAAGTATTACCGGGCTCTAATATCATATCTCCGTATGTGCTCCTTGGAGATGCGGCGTTTCCTCTAAAGAAATACCTATTGCGTCCTTTTCCAGAAAAGTCAACGGTTAAAGGGGACGCCAAAGATAATTATAATTATCACTTATCTCGAGCCAGAATGGTGGTGGAATGTTCTTTTGGTTCAATAACTTCTAAATTCAGAATTCTACATAAATCTATCGAAACGAATGTTACAAATGCAGTTCATATCGTCAAAGCCATATGTTTACTACACAATATTATAAGGGATCTTGAATCAATAAATGAGAATGAATTAATGTCTTTCCGAAAAGGCAAAGGCAAAAGGCAAGAGAAAACTTTAAACTGTATTTTGAGCAACATCCTTTGCCAAGAATGTAATAATAATAAAGAAATATGTTGTACTTACTTGTAGTCCCAATTATTTTAGCCACAGCCTCCCATTCGGGGTGCGATAATAACCGGTTGTGATAACTTTTATTCCTTTTGTCCCATAATGTAGGACGTTCTTGGATAGCATTAATAAGAAGTTCTACTTCCGACTTTACAATTTTTGCTTGAAAAAAATATGGTCGACGCGTCCACTTCGCGCGAAAATATCAAGCCAACTGATCGCGTTCGCTTCATTTCGCGCCGCTCCGCACTGCACCCCACGTGCGTTTGGTCACGTAGGCCACTTCAATAGGTTTCGAATGTTTGTTGTTTTCGCGCCGCGCCGCGCCGCTTCGCGTTCGCGTCTAGATCGCTCACGCAGGACGTCGCCTAAGGGCTACGGTTTCCGAGATATGATTTTTTTTCTTTTTTTTGCTGAATTACCTACAATGGCGCAGAACTATCGTGATAACTTTTTTGTTTGTCGAGATAATAACAAGAGAAATTGATATGATCTTCCAAAGTCGTAAAATAGCGCAGAGTGAATAAACAATTTTAAATTCAAAATTCGAGTACAAAAAACCTGTACCTTTTTTTAAAATTAGTTTTATTTACAAAAGCTCTGTAGTTCAGTGAATAGATAGGCTATGTATGTTCTGGGACGCCCTTCTGCGCCGACCTTCGGTGCCAAATGACCTTGAGAGCTGACCTTCGATGCCAACCTTGAAACGTGACCTTGAGTTTCCGAGTGACCTTGAAGTGTGAGTAGGTAGGGTTTGTATGTTCTAGAACGCCCTTGAGAGTCGACCTTGGGAGCCAACCTTGAACGCATATTTAACCTCGAAATGTGACCTTGAAATGTAACCTTGAAACATGGCCTTGAAATATGACCTTGAAATGCAACCTTGAAATATAGCCTTGAAATGTGACCTTGAATCGAAATATGGCCTTGAAATATAACCTTGAAATGTGACCTTGAAGTCGTGAATGGTAGACGGTATGACCTTGGAAATATGTGTTTAAATTAGTGCAGCGCTCGGAGAGGAGGCAGTTGTTAGCAGACAGCACGAATCAAACAATGAGTGCAAGACAAACATTTAAGTTGCCGACGGTGTGGGAGGGGAAGCCGGTGGCGGTTATACGCCCATTCAACAGAATACATCCTGAAGAAGAAAATTGGGACGACCCATGGCCCAGAACGCATATGGGCACCACACCGCCGCATCAACCATCTGAGTCCAGAACACCTATGAACACCACACCGCAGCATCCTCCATCTGGGTCCCGAACACCCATGGACACCACACCGGTTAGCCGATATGGAGTCAGGAATCCGTCGCCGGAAGTGGCAGTGGAAGAGAATTGGGATGATGAAGCAGGTTCTAATTCGGATCAGTTGATTCAGGTGCCCATGCAGAGAAGTATACCTCCAGGCATGGGTCGTGGTGCGAGACTAAGATGGATTATACAGGAGAGAAGGAGATTGCGACAGGTGCAGCAGTGAAGGAAGCAGGGTTTCAGAGGGTGGAGGTATTGTTGGCAAACGGAAGCAAGGTTTAAGAGAGTGGAGACAATGTTGGTAGAAGGAAAACGTAGTGGGGTGACTAAAAAGTGCACCAGCAAAAGTAACATGTGCAATGAAGGTGAACATATAAGTATTAGTCCAAAGACCGTATCCTTCAACGAAACAAAAAACAAAGTACATATCATGTATGCATGGCAATATGCATATAGAGAAGCTCGAAGAAGTAACGGGGAGATGGCAGATAGATGTAGGTTTCAAAGGCGAGTGCAACTAGTCGAAGAAGTGTTAAAAAAATACTTGACAGTAGATTCTAGGCAAACAGTGTTTACAGAAAGGTTTAAAGTGTAAATTATTAAAGTGGAGGTATGTCTGTGATATGTATAAAAGTAGTAAGAAGTAGGTTTAGTAAAATTGCGAGAATGTAATGTAAAAATAGAGGGGAAGAAGCAACGCTTTGATGTATTTATAAAATAATAAAGATTGTAAGATAGGAATATTGTGTAGTGTTATGTGGGAGGAAGGGGTAAAAAATACATTAAATGAAGAAACATATGTTTATTGACAAAAATTATGACATGATGAAATTTTCATACAAATAAAAAACGTTAGACATCGCACACATGCAAATATCTGTTGTATGGTAAAAACACTTCGCCGGTGAAGGGGTGAGGCGGGGCTGCTCTTCAAGCTCGATTATTGGTTTGCTGGTGAAGTTTCTCAGGTAGGCTGCTTTTTCACGTCCTTTCACATAAATTCTGTCTGCCACATCCGCAATATGTTTAATAATGTTTCCAAACTTATGTAGGGGTGTAAACCCTGAATTCCAGGAGATACCATGGTAATTATCAGTCAACCACTTCGCCTGAATCTTCAACGGTGGTGGCAGCAGATCCCAAGGAAAAGGAGCTTTGAAAATATAATGACATAACCTAACACCATCATAGGCGCAAAATTCTTTTGCGAGAAATTTATTATTTTCAATTTTAAATCCTTGAACATCCAAAACGACACTCATATTTGTAAGTTGGAGAATTTTGTATATAGAATGCGTCTTTGACAATAGGAATTGAGTGCTTCTTTCAAACTTTGCAATTTCTGATAATACTCTCTGAGAGCTTGTCTGTAGGATGATGTCATAATGAGAATGAAGGAGATTTAGTCTGAACAAAGATATTTATATTGTGATTGATCGTGATTGATTAAGCTCTATCGCTGTTTAACAATTTTGGTTAAAGGGTTGTAGGTGAAAACGCGATCGTGTAGGATGAGACAGTAAGCAGATGTTTCCGGAGGAACATTTTCACTTGTCTCAAATTCAATTCGCATAACCACCGATCCAGATTGGATACTTTCCTTCTGTTTAGAGCAATCAATATGTGTGATAGGGGCAATAGAAAGGAAATCTTTTGGGGAAAACAGAGGTTCATTTTCACTCTCATAATAGGAGGAGCGGAATTTTGAGTACATTTCATACAAGAGAGCAAATTTTTGGTTTTTAAAATCCAAAGAGAGATCATTATATGGGAAGCGGTCGGAGTTGAGGAAAACCCGAATATTGGTCAACTTGCAATGATCAAATTGTGACATATTGGAGGTAGATACTTGTTTTTTATTAGTTTGAAAGGCTAGGATAACATGTCTAGGGGTCTCGAGCTTCGTTGTAGTTTTGACTGGCCAGGTGTGACGCGTTGTTTCAGGGAGTGATGGATACTCTACTAGTTCCCAACTGCGAAAATATAGTGGAATTTCCATGTTTTTGTTGAGAATTTTTGTAAGAGCTAGTTGCTGAGGAATGTCAACAGATACGTGGGGTACTCTCCACTGAATCTTATCAATCCGAATTTTTGGTTTTTCGGATGTAGTAGTTGCTACAACAGCATCAAGGTCATGACTACTACGGATTAATACTAACTCCTGTTTCATATTGAGGAGAATTTTTCGATAGTCTTCAAAGAATCCCATCCACATGCTTAAAGGAATACAAACATTGAACTTGCCAGACTCAGAAATAAAAGTGTCTTTTGGGAACCAGCCAGCATTTTGCAAGCGTGAACTCTCATTTTCATTAAAAGACAGATACCCTTTAAGGGTGGAGGTAAGACCAACATTTCGAACGGAATCGACTACAACTCCGTTCAGTTCATAACGGAGCTCACGGAACAGAAAAGCAAAAGCGTTATTGATTAATTGCAGAGTTTTAACAGTAGTTCCATCAGCGTTTTTAGTCGTAACAGCAGTTCCATCGGCTTTGGTTAATTCTCCTTCGAGATACAAAAGACTTTGTGACGGGAGGGTATAGGCATCTAGTTCTTGAACAGCAATGCGAATTTCATCGTTGTAGTCAAAGTTGGAATTGATAAAAGGTTGATAAGTGTGATACTCTAGTTCTGTAATAGAATTATCAACAAGAGGTTTTTGTGTAACGTTGAGAATACTCATCATACAACATGTGAAAACCTAGATTTTCCAAAAATTTTCTATTATCGTTAGTAAGTTGCAATGTTGATTGTTGTCGAAATGATCTTCTGCGTATGCGGGACGGCTTACCACTAATAGATGGTTTCGACTGACCTCGCTTTTTATAGGGAAAAGAGATCGGAG